GTGATAACCTGATGCATTGTTGAAATACAGCAAGTGCTTCAGCAGTCCGGCAGCACATACCAACTTTTAGACTAGGAAGCAAAGGATCGGGGTGGCTGCTGCATCAAGGAAAATAATAAAATACATTTCTATGGTGGTTATATCTGAGAGCTCAGAGCAGTTTTCAGGATTTCTCTGCAAGTCTTCATTGTTTTCATCAGAGAGTAACTGTTGTTAGCTACCCTTTACAAGCTCAGAAATACAGACACAGGTTTGGATCTGGAAAGATCACCAGGTCAGGCAGTGATGGGGTCAAATTTGGGGTCCCTCTCCCCTCTCCTGTCTGGCTCTTCTGTGCCCACCTGGCTGCTGGGGCAGCCAGCTAACTCTGGACATGTCAGAAGCTTCTCATTATTATTTTTGTGTGTTTATCTTTGAAACAGAGAAAGGCTTGCCACTAAGAAACACTGCTCCTCTCAGCTTTCCTTATTCTCTCTACTCCTCTGTATCTTTTACTTCTTTTGTTCTTTTTTCCTTCTAGTTTTTTGTTTTCCTGTTTGTCTTTACCATATCCCTTTTTCACTCTCTTTGACTTAAGATCACATTTCACTATCCTTCCTCCTGAGGGTGCATCACAGTCCTACTGGGGCTCCTTTTCCTTGGAGTACAAACAGGGCAAACCCAGAGGTTATCTGCTGACACTTTCCGGGACATGCGCTTCCAAACTTGGCCACAAGGGGGTGTATGCGCAATACCTGTGGTTTCTTAGTGCTGAACAGAAGGCTGGCTCCGGCTCTGGTCAGTCACAAGAGGAGCTGGACTTGCCATGCATCAAATCAGGAGAGGAGGGCACCTGAGAGACAGGAGGCTAGGTGTCTCCAGGTGTGTGAGTGACTAGGCCCAAAGGTCTGGTTCCACCCATCCTTAGATTGAGAGTGATATGTAAGTCCTATGTCTGTGCGTGTGTCTGTGTGTGCACATGCGGGAAAAACTGGTGGTTGTGAGCTGTCTGATCTCTGAGTTTCCTTCCATATATAGTTCTGTATTTTGAATGTAAGTTTTCAGAGATTATTGAGCCAAGAGGAAGGAAAGTGAAAAAGCTTTAAAAAGGACTTAGAGCCTATGGCAAGTAGGCTTCAGCTTCAGCTTCAAACTCAGTGATCCTGAAAGATCTCTTCTTGTCCTCTCCCTGTGCCCAGAGATGTGATGGCTAATGCAAGCTTGCACAGCCAGGAAGCAAGATGAATTGAGTTTCTTGGGTCCTTGGCACAGTTGGAATTGGACTTCCCCACCCTGGTGCTGCAGGTGTGGAAGTACTGGAGTCAGGTTTACCAGAGGAATGGGAAGCTTGTGGTGTGAGCAGCAACCTGTACAGTGAGGAAAACCACCTCATAGGCACATGCCTGGCATTTGGTGTACCCTCTGACCACTCCTAGTTGTTGCTGCAGTTGGTGACTTACTGTGCTTGGTGTCTTTCCCTAAGAGTGTGGGAGATAGAGGCAGCTGGGAATTCTGGAAGACAGCGCTGTGGTGGTGGCTGGTTAGGGCTGGGGGTTTGCTGTGGTCCCTGAGGTAGCCTGGAGATGATGGGTGAGTTTATTTTGGGAAATGCCCCTTCTCTTGCAGGGACTGAAAGGCTCCTGCTGACATGGATCTGGGGACAAGGCAGCCTGAGTTCCTTATGGCAGTTTAAGGTCTATAGAGTTCAGGGCAGATACCAAGTATATAGACAGAAACTGCAGTGGCCCAGTGTCCTAGGCCTGAACTGGCTTTGGAGAAGTCTGTTATGTTCATGCTACCTCCCCTGTTTCCAGAGCAGACTTTGAACACAGTAGGTGCTCAGTGAGCACTGGTATACTCTGGACAAATCTCTGGCCTGGAAGCCAAGAACCTGCATTTGACTACCAACAGCTGCTCACAAGAAAATCACTTTCCCCAAGACTCAATTTTCTCATTTTCAAGAGGACCACAGGGCTAGAGCCTGCAGAGTGGCAATCTCACACCAGCAGAGTGTGCAGCAAGGCGTGCAGGTGCCCTGCATCTAATGGTTCAGCCAGGTTGGTAGGTGGAGACAATTTCCTGATCATCTCACAGAGACATCCGTCTCCTTCCTCCCTGGAGGACCTAGTATGGGCATTCACAGTGCTGGGCACCTGCCCTTTTGGAAGGTTCTGTGAGAAGGAGGGTCTGGAGCAAAAGATTCAATGCCTTTGCTGTCAGCTTCCTGGTATACAGCCCTCCTCCCCAGCTGCTGGCAGGACAACTCTGCCAACTGCTTGCATGGGGGCGGGATGGAAAGCCAGTCTCAAGTGTGCCTGATTGCCACCTGGGAAGGCAGAACTAGGAAGGGAGAGAAGGAGGGAGTTAGCATCAGGCAGTCCTGGGATCACCCGTTGACAGCTGTGGGATATTAAGCAAAATATTAAACTTCTCCCAGCCTTGGTTCCTTGATATGTAAGGGGTGATAAATAGAATCTTTCCTGCAGGATGTCAAGAGAACTGTATGCAAAGCTGCTAGCCCAGTGCCTGGCACTTAGTAAATGCTTCATAAAAACAGTGATTACTCAAGGTTTGGACTGTCAGTGGGGCAGAAGGTCTAATTGGAAGATGTAGAGGGAGAAGAGCTGTATGAAAAGAGAGTCTCAGACCAGTGTTCACAGGGGAGAGGCTGAGCATCTGGTCCCCATTTTCCTCTCCTGGGGCTCATCCCATACACTCTCCACCCCCCGGCTTCCTCCCTTTCCAAGCAGCTGTCAGGGAATCACACTCTAGAATGCAAGTTCTGTGAGAGTAATATAAGCCAGAGGTATGGCATTCCACTCAGTTGTAAAAGGAGAAAACATTTCCCTGTGAATCTTCCAGCTGCCTTCCTGAACTCCTAGCACAACCTGAGTATTGGAGGTGTACATCTAACACTCTGACCTCAGGCTAATCAACAAAGCTGGCACAGCATCAGGGTGGAGCTGGGCAGCAGTCACCCACCTTCCTGCCTTACCAGCCTCTAGGTTCAGGGACAGAAACGGGTGTCCTTAATTCTCCCTTAGTCTGCTGGGATCATGCTCCACATCCAGCAGTTCAGCAGTAAGGATACCACAAGAGATGTTTGCCCATTGTTTCTGAGAGTTACAGCTGGAGGAAAGATGAGTGCAGATCCCGAGAGCAGACATTAAGAGGAAAAAGAAAAGAACAGCTAAACATTCATTATGTGTTGGATACTGGGGTATTTCATCATGAGTTAACATATTTGATCATCATGTCCCTCTTGTTAAATAGGTTGTCCTCTCCACTTTACAGATGAGGGAACTGAGGCACAGGTGACATAACTTACTCATGAATCAGCTGAGCAGCACCAACCACCATGCATTTAACCTTCTCCTTTGACTTTCTCTGGAAGTTCAGACCAAAGAGATGCATGAGGCTTATTCTTATTAGGGACCTTGAAGTGGCACCTCATCTAGAATCAGGTCAGACCAAGGCTGGAGCAGGGCATCAGGTACTTGAAACGCCACAGTTGGCTGGGGCTGGTGGTGGAATTGAGCACCTTGGACTCCTTAGAGATTCAGAGCACAGGGGCTGTCTCAGTGCCATGAGGTTTGGCCCCAGGCCACCGGCTAGAGCAGCACGCCCCACCTTACTCTTTCCACAAACATTTTTGGTGTCCCCCACACCTGTCTCAAGCATCAGGCATTGGGGATCTTCAACCCCCCAAACCCTAAAACTACCTCTGCCCCTGAGATGTTCTTGGTTTAATGAAAGTAGAGAATTTGTAGCTTTCTGTGGAATGACCTCTGTAGGGATAGAGACGTGACCAGCTGTACTTGGGAAATCCTGGAATGCTGTCCAGAGATGACATTGAGGGCGGGGTGGACTTGAGGTGGGGATTTAAGGGCAAGAAGAGTCTGCACAGGGACTGTGGAGTCCTTGAGAGGCTGTAGACATTTACTCCACACCCCTCGGAAAAACTGCAGCGGGCTGGGGGAGCATTTGCTGGCTGTTGGGTGGGTAAGCAGACAGCGACTGAGGACTCCACCACCCACGTGCGGCGTGTCCACTTGGGGACAGTTCGGCGCTGCTCGCCCATCCAAGTCCAGGCACAGCTGTTTTGGCGGAAGAGAATGACCACGCGGAGCGAGTCGTGGATGACAAAGGCGCACTGAAGGGCAGCGCGTTTATGTAACCGACCTCGGCGCCACGGGTCTCAGGAGGATGGCGCTCAGAGCCCGGGCATGGGGGAAGGACAGGGCGTCATTTTCTGGCAAATATCGGTGGACAGCAAAGCGACATAAGTTGGGGAAGTCCAGCGAGCTGTAAAGAGCAGGGTGTCCGCTGTCTTTCCCCAAAGCCGCTGCGGCGAACCCAGGGCTCCCTTCCCGACTCGGCCCTTGTCCCACCGCCCGGGATCGCTGGCTGGGTAACCTTGGGAGCGCCACCCGACCTCTCCGGGCCTCGCTCTCCCAGCCTGCGCAGCCGGCGAGGCCT